CTGGGGCTGGTGTGAACTAGCCCTAAGTGTTTGGGCAAAAATGTAAAGCAATGCTTTGCTGGGCAATGTATATTAGTTTCATCTGGATTCTTTATTGAAAAAAGTTTGAGAGTTTAATACTATTTTAACCTCCCCTTCAGCAAAAATGATTAGGCCCACTGACGTTTGGTCACATGACAGTCACAGGATGGAGCACAGAGCAGCATTTTCTTCAGTAACAGTATATTAATCCTTCCATCATGCATTAGCTTTAGATTGGTAAAAATCCGTGTATAGGGCCACTTTAAATACATTTTATCATAAAATATAATTCACATCTATCAAATAAAATGCTTTTAAAAAATGTTGCAAAAGACAGAAAAGTTGGAAATGAATCAAACAACGAGCAAATTCAAAGTGTATGTAATTATTTAGTACATTTACTGATTAATCATTGTTGAATTAAATTCACAGTTAATCTGTTGAATCGGATTAATGTTTGACAGATTTATTTCCCTACACCACATAAAATAAACTCTTTAAAATTCATAAAAATATTGTGGTGGCAATTTAGGATGCAAAAAGGCTCACAGCTGAGAATCAATTACAACATTTTCTAATCTCCTACAAGAATTTCTGATTACACTGGCAGAACAATAATAGTTATATTAAATTTCCTGGCAATGATTTGTACCTAAAACCCTTTTTTGCTGCTTGATGAAGTCATATTGTTGTAAAATACTATTGACTTAATTAATGTATTATTATGTTGGAGTGAGTCATTGTGTGACATTTGTAATGACTGAAACTAACTTGATGATTTTGGAGCAGAGAACTATTTTTTTGCTAGGAGGAATAATAGTAATGTAGGATTAGACTGACCATCAGCAATGTATATATGATACCTTTTTAATTGGAGACAAACTCTAGTAGTTATTTTAGTTTGACTGTATATCACTTCATGGAAATGTTTAGCTATTCAAACTGAACTCCAAGCAGATATATAATTAAATTATTTAATACAATTGTGTATATCTTTAATAAAAAAACTTACAGGGTTATTCACAAAAGGGTGAAGTGTTTGGGGAAGGCAGGAGAAGTGAACCATCTAGGACAACATAGCTGAACTGGAAAGTGAGCTGAATTGGAGAATGTTTCTAGTTCAGATATGTTGTCCTAGATTGTTCACTTCTCCTGCCTTCTCCAAACTCTTCACCCTTTTGTGAATAACCCTAACAAAGTTTATTCAAGGCCAAACTTTTTTTCTTTTAGGTTTGGATAGAGTAGGGAAGAGTTAGAACCTTTGTCAGGTTTTATTGCTGTCTTATATCACAATCAGGGAGATTCACCATCTCTATTAGTCTTTATGACAAATTGGTCCATAACTCAGAGATTTTCTATTAATTACTGTTGTGTCTACAGGACAGGAAATGAAGGGAAATCTTGCCAATTGGACACAGGTGGCAGTGGTTTAACCACTCAATACTCTATATAAGAAACTAATATCCTGTACCTGTAGTAGTGCCTGAATTTGCCACTGCCAGCATCTTATTCTGTCCACAACTAATAGAAACATTTTGGCTGGAGTTGGACTTTATAGAATACAGTAGTGTCACATCCCTGCCTGCAGACTGAACAATGTAGGAGGAACAACACACTGATAGGTTATCAGCTTTGCTCCATTTCTTCTCTCCTTGTGTCAGCACATGTGCATGCAGCAGAACATGTGTGGCTCCCAGTATTACCCCTCCTTCAGCCTCTTTCAGGCTATTCAGGCTATAGTCTGTGTCTTTCTGCTCCCCATATTTATTGTCATGAAATCACAGGCAGTCACAAGAACAAGAAGTAAGGTAAATTTTCCCAACAGGGTCAGAGACAGCAGTAAAAACTTGACAGACAAACTCTTCCCAAGTCTATCCAAAACCAATAAAATAAAAAAATAAGTGGCTGGAGTTGGGCTCCTGGTTGTGCTCTCTATTAGAGGTATAAAATAGAGGTATCCTTCCACTAGGAGGCCCCTGGAGCCTCCTAGTGGAAGGGATCCTTGACTGCTGGAAGCACAGGCTTTATGATTAGTTTACCAAGTTAAGGCTTGTAAAGTAGCTCCGTATGGATTGGGAACCATTATAGGAGGTATCGGAGCAGAGCAAGGCTTTGCTGTAAGGCTTCCCTAAGACACATGCCAGAATCCAGTTGATCATCAGCCCCAGGAAAAATTGCATGTGTACCTGCCTGATGCAAGGAAATTTGTCACAGCTTTATTGGTGGTTAAATGTAACTTTTAGGGTCTATATCCGCAACCTGACGTTTGAGTCAGTCTAAATGCCTGCCGGTAGTAATGATAAGGACAGGTCACTTTTATTTTGGTGCTCAGAGAGTGGCACTGATATATGGTAATGTTATATTGGTTATCTTGGAAATTCCAGTAAAGCTGTATCCTTGCCTTTTCCAACTTAATCTGTGCCCGTGTTATAGTGGCTCACATTTTTCAGATACTACAACTGTGTTGTTCCACAGAAACACAGACTAGCACACATAGCTATATAACAAGAGAATGTAATCCAAATCCAGCTCCGTGAAGTTAATTTTACTAAGCAGGGGACAGATGACTCATAACACTATAGGCTTGACCCTCAATCAATCATTCCTGTAACGTGTTGTCTCAACTCACATACAGTATATCTCTATACACTTTGCACGTCTTCAGAATTACTGAAATTAATTTTTTTTCTTCAGTTAGAGCGGTTAAAGTCTGGAACTCGATGCCACAAGAAGTGGTATCAGCTGAGAGTATTGAATTATTCAAAATTTAGATACCTTCCTCAGAGACGGTAACATACAGGGGTGCAGGTACTCCTAGAAAACTAGACCACACAGGGACTCGTGTACACACATACACATGCACAATCACAAACAGGCACACAAAGGTTGAACTTGATGGACCTGTGTCTTTATTCAACCTCAAATACTATGTAACTATGTAACTACTGGCATAGGATCCCACCCCTTAAATAATCTGGAATGGTTAGGAATGTTGTGTAAAGTAAATAAGATAAGAGTGTTAGATGCTCTGTTTGTTAAAGGTGGATGGAACTGGGAGATGAGATGGAAAGGTCCTTTTGCTAAAGTCTTTAGGAGATGGAAGAACTCAGTTGTGGCCTGCCCCTTTAAGAAAAATTTTCTTGAAAAATAAAACATGGAAAATACATAAGCCGCCATTTACACGATTTTATTTTTAAATGGCTAGTTTACGGGTGTTTGTTGATCAAAAGGCTTTGATACTTTCTGAGTCATTTACCCTGAACAAATCTGCAAATCTGTCATTCTGACTTTCCTGAGTTTACTGGTTCCATGCTTAGTGAGTATTATTATTATTACTATTATACCGGATTTATATAGAGCCAAAAGTTTGCGCACCGCTTTTCAAAATAGAGGGAGAAGGGGCGTGGCCAGCGCTTGGGACGGATGGCTGCTATAGACGGAGCTCCGTGCCCAAGCAGACGGCGGACCGCGACATTCACCGCATCGGGACCCGGCATCATCTCCCCACTTACCCCAATCACATCAGGGGAAGGTCCGGACATGTCCCGAAAGAAAAAGTCAGGCGCTCGGCCCCAGAAAATGACGGCATTCTTCAATCTGTCGGGCCGCAAGCCACAGCAAAATGGCGCCGGCCAGCAGCACTCCACGCCGGTCACCTCCCACTTGGCTGGTAGAGGGGATCGGGACGCGGACATCAACCGCCGGCCTGAAGGTAGGAGTCACCCAGGCCCCGAGAAGCCTCCTAGGCAGCCACAGAGCCCATCACCCTCCCAGGCCTCACACCAGTCCTCATCGATTGCCTCAGGCAGCCCAGAAAAATCGAGGCCGCGGCTTTCAGGCCTAGACCACCAGGGGGAGATAGAGAGCCCTGCTCTCCTGTCCAGGGATGACACCAGAGAACTTGTGACACCTATTAACTCGTTCCCCACCGCAGGCAAGCCTCTGTCAGATTCTACACTGAAAGATATGTTTGTGTCACTGCGCAGCACTATGTTCAATAATATATACTTTTTCTTTGTACCGTTACGAAAACTCAATAAAAACCTATTGAAATTAAAATAGAGGGAGAAAATATAGTTAACGATACAATTTTAATAAAGGAAGGTTAGGAGGGCCCTGCTCATTAGAGCTTACAATCTAGTAGACTAATAAAGTGTTGAGGCCAGGGACAGCCAGGATACTATCATTTGCATACGGTGGTTAGCAATGGAAGCCAGATTTTCTTTGTTTATTTGATGTGCCTGTTACTGAAAAGCTACCTAATATAATTAATTATCAATTACAATGATGGTATAGACCAGGGGTGCCCACAATTTTTTTGTGTTAAGATCTACTTTTCAAATGACGAGCTACATAACATCTACCAACGAAAAAAAACCCTCCCTCGCTCTCTCTCTCCTGGCTGTCTCCCCTCGCTCTCCTGGCTGTCTCTCCTTGCTCATCCTCCTGGCTGTCTTTCCTCGATCTCTCTCACTCCTGGCTGTCATTCCTCGTTTTCTCTTCTGGCTGTCTCTCTTCACTCTCTTGGCTGTCTCTCCTTGCTCTCTCTCCTGTCTGTCTCTCCTTGCTCTCTCTCCTGTCTGTCTCTCCTTGCTCTCTCTCCTGTCTGTCTCTCCCCGCTCTCTATCCTGTCTGTCTCTCCCCGCTCTCTCTCCTAGCTCACCTTGCTGAATTTTGCAAACTTGGCACAGCAGACTCAGGCTAATAGGTAGCCATGTGTGCACAGCTAAATAAATATAACAAAATGGAATAAAGGGGCCACCATTCACACCCTTCGTGATCTACCAGCATCAACTTTGAGAGCTACTGGTAGATCACGATCTACCTAATGGGCACCCCTTGTATAGACTGTATGACAGAAAGGTGTTTTACACTGAAATAAGCGGAGGTACGTATCTTTGTTAGGGAAGTAGAGGACGGTGAGACTGACTTCAGAGTGCCAATCTTCCTCATTTCTCTTATATGACCATTTTTTCCAGATGGCATCAGGAAGCTTGCTACACCTCGGGGAGGAAACTGACAAAGTAAAAGCTAAGAACCGAGAATCCGTTTTACTCCTGCTTCATCTGGTAAGTGCCATGCTGCTTGTGTGCATCCCATTGACAGGAATTGCACTTAATCTGTAATAACATCCTGTGCAAAGATGTTTCATATACAGCTGTCAAAGTAACTGGGCACTCCGCGAGTGTATTTCCCTCCTTTCTGCCACTGAGAAAAGGATTATGCGATTTTATTCTAACTTCCAGAGTCCACAATGGGAAACAATATCTCAATCATAATAGGATTAGCAGGAACAAATTCAGGATAAAGATGTTTTGCTCATCTGATGAATTATTTTCCAAATAAAAGAAAAACACAGTAGAAGGCTTTTGTAAATTTTACTAATAAATTGATTTAGTTTCCTATACTGTACTTTCAGTGCTTTTATTATTATTATTATACAATGTTTATTAAGTGCCAACTATTTTTTCAGCACTTCACAAAAATAAAGGGGGACAGTACAGTTATAATACAATTTTATACAAGAGGGTTAGATGGGCTCTACTTGTGGGAGCTTACAATATAAAAGGGAGGAGTAAGTGATACAAAATATAATAAGTGTGAGGGATGCGCTGATCGAGGAAGTAGGAGGAGGTGGGATTGGCTTTTTTGAACAGAGGAGTTTTTAGTACTCACCTAAAGGTGGACACAGTAGGGGATAGATGACAGATTAGGGTAGGGAGTTACAGATAATGGGAGAGGCTCTGGAGAAATCTGGAGGCGAGCATGGGAGGAGGTCTTGGCAGAAGTGAAGAGGATACTTTGGGTGATAGTTCCAGATGAGGTTTGGGATGTAGCTTAGGACAGTGTTGTGAATATTTATAATTTTATTTGTTGAGCGAGTGGAAGCCAGTGGAGGGATTCCCAGAGAGGGGTAGCAGCCACTGAACAGTGGATAAGGTGGGTAAGTCTAGCAGCAGAGTTGATGATAGACTGAGGGTAGGATAGCCTGTGTAAAGTTAGGCCAACAAGGAGGGAGATGCATAGTTGAGGCAAGAGATAACAAGGGATTGGATTAGTAGCTTTGTGGTGTCATTTGTTAGGAAGGGTCAAATTTTGGAAATGTTATGGAGGTTAAGGGGACAGGATTTGGACAATGATTGGATATAGCCCAAAAGGAGAGGTCAGAGTCCAAGATTACACCTACCACCCTGGCATGAGGGGAGGAACTGATAGTTGTGCTATTGATCTGCATGGAAAAGTCAGGGTAGGGGACATGGGGCAGGTGAAAGAGGAAATATTATAAGCTCAGTTTTGGAAAGATTGAGTTTGAGGAACACAGCTTAATAATGGTTTGTAAAATATATATTTTATTATATAATACATCCAGATCTCGCTGCTGAATGAAATAAGGCCCCTGGGCCAGTGTAGTAGAAAGATACCCACAGAGAACAAGCCTGGCTCTTGGAGATGACAGTGTCTCTGAAAAGGGCATGCCCCAACTCCCTTATATTAATCTTATGGCTTCTCTACAGCCGACACTGAGACTTGAGACAGCAATCTGGGTGATATTGGTCCTAAAGTAATTTGACAGTGCTCAGAACTAGTGATTGGCTGTAACGTCCATGCCCAATCACAGGGGAGCAGATCGCATGGTCCCCCATACCTAGAAATGCCGGGTATTTTTCTCAGCTGCAGAGAAGCAAGGAACAGTGAGGGAGCACAGGTAAAAGTGACTTAAATATATAGTGTCTTTTTGAGAAATAAATTGATAGACAGCATGAAATGTAACTCCTTGTTGACAGTTGCCTTACCTGAAATCAGGGTATTACAAATGAGGCAGAATTTTTCTCATTCCAAAATGTAATTTTATTTTCCTGAATCCACTCCTGCTACACAACTGCAAGGCATGAGCGATATAGAGAATATCAAGTTTCAGATGTTATGGAAGATTAGAAAAATGTAAATGCAAAGTGACAACCAGCCATGATTGGGTTTATGCTATAATTGGGTCATTCAGTTTAAAAAATTGCACATTCATAACTAAGAAAGATTTATATTTCTCCGGTATTTAACCATGATACTTTGTCTGAGTCTGTTAGGCACAGTTCACATCTATGCATTTAAAAGAAATATTTTCCTGCTTCTCTTTGCCTTTAGCTATGAAAGTCAGAGATCACTTGAGGTTAAGCAGTTGTGATGTCAGTTGTCTGTACTCAGAAAATGAAGTGGGCAGCAACTGTCAGACTTCAGGTGACCTTTGGTTTCAGACTCTCATTAAGGGTGGGTGCCTATAAATTTACAATATAAATCTTTCGAAAGAAAACCTTCAAATTCCTCTATAAATCTACAGGTGAAACTCGAATAATTAGAATATCGTGCAAAGTTCATTTATTTCACTAATGCAACTTAAAAGGTGAAACTAATATATGAGATAGACTCATTACATGCAAAGCAAGATAATTCAAGCTGTGATTTGTCATAATTGTGATGATTATGGCTTACAGCTCATGAAAACCCCAAGAACCCCAAATCCACAATCTCAAAAAAGTAGATTATTACATGCAATCAATAAAACAAGGATTGTACATAGAACAATATCGGACCTCTGAAAAGTACAAGCATGCATATGTACTCAGTACTTGGTTTGGGAACCTTTTGCAGCACTTACTGCAATTACTTTTGCACGATATTCTAATTATTCAAGTTTCACCTGTAAATGTAAATGTGTATGTCCAATTTCGCAGTAAACTCCACTCTAAAGTTGTTGACAGTTGTAAACTAGGAGTTAACTCAGTCAGTGGTTACCCGATTTGCCAACCCCTCCTTATGCAGCCACCCTGGAGACAGCCACCAACACCCCATTCGGGATGGAAAAGTAAATATGATAGAAAGGGGAACATGATCACATAAACTCCCAGGCAAATAAGTAGCCACAGAAATCATCACCAAAAAAGACTGGTTATCAAAGGGTGTATCTAATCTGGAAGAGAAACCAGGAGTATAAGATAAAGAGAAGAACCCCTTAATCCCCGTGTTCTTCCACTTCCAGATCCTGTAAGCATTGCAGCCCAGGATATCAACATACTTGAAGCTCGAAGTGGATTAGAAGTGTCTACAGAGGGTTCAAGGACATTATTAAAATCTCCAGCAAAAACCACAGGGAGAGGAAGAAACGGGGCCAGCTTATCTAATAAGAGTCCATGAGCCCATCGCACTCCTGACCGCTTACTCCAAAAGAAGAAAGGAGGGGGGCTACGGTGATCAGCGGATGGCAGCCGTTATATACATACATAAAAACAGGGACACCGGCACTCCAAATGCGATGCAAAAAAACATCTATTTATTGACGTGATGCAGCATATCATAAATGGAACGAACGTTTCGGGGTCACACAGGATCCCCTTCCTCAGGCAAAGACACGTGGTGACGTTTTTTTGCATCGCAATTGGAGTGCCGGTGTCCCTGTTTTTTGTAATCTTATCTAATAAATCACATAGGGCAGAAGAACATACACATTTACTAGAGCTAATTTATGTGTTTTCACATCCAAAGTAACAATGACTCCCTGGATTCAAAGGCTTATGCAAAACAATGAATGGCAAGGATTTGCTAATCAAGATGCAAACCCCATGTGCGTAGGCCGAATAAATTGCATGAAGCATTCTCTGGATCCATGTGGTTTAAAATACTGGAAAATCAAAGATTCCTTAAATTTACTGTTAAGTCCTCTAACATTCCAGGCACTATACATACAGTATCCCCTAACATGGACTATAAACTATAAACCCAAAAGGAAGGTGACCAGGTATGCCAGCAAAAAAAGAAAGAATAAGGAAGGCTATGTCCAACTCATGTCCCCCACAATGACATAAACAGAAAGCTTGTGCCAAGTATACTGTAAAAATGTGAACAGAGAACAAAATGCAACTCTTCCCAGCTCCCACTCTGCTTCACTTGGTAAACAAACAGTGTTAACCACAACATGCCTTAGCCCTAAACACATGCCAACTGGTCAGGTAGCGACTGTACCCGTTTACCCTTACAGTTTGAAAAAGGTAGCATGAAAAAATTAGTTAAAAAGAAAAACAAAATAACAATGCATTCAAAGAACCAATGCCCCACTGCCAATTAGGGAAAAAACTAATGCACAGGAGTAATATTTGAGTTTCCAAAGGAGAAAAATGCAGTCTAAAGTGAAAGCAGGGCAGCACAGAACAGCCAACAATTCCAGGAAGAGCAGTAGGACAAGTTATATAGCAGCCCATGAGTAGGCCACAAAAGAAGTCATCGTGCATCCAGGACACCTAGTGAAGACAAACCATCCAAAGCTACATCTACTCCATCGCAGTCGATCAAGTCAATCACTAACCAAAGAGGGAACCAGCGTGCTGTATCCTAATCTTGCTGGGATAAAGCATAGTTTACGGAATGCCCTTTTCTCGCAGACACTTTCATGCACCCTGAAAGGTTCTTCTTCTCCTCTGAATGTCAGCCAAAAAGTCAGAAAATAAACATCCCTCTGCATTGCCATGCCATTATTTCAGGAGTCTTTTGGGCAGCAGCAATCACCAGGTCCCGAACCCTGCAATTCAGCAGCTGCGCCAGGAAAGGCTGCGGCAGAGCACCCAGAGGCAGCCTTCCAGTAGGTAGTCTGTAAGCATGCTCCACCAAGAAAGGTAACGGGAAACTCCCACAAGAACCAATTTAAAGAGATTTTCTGCAAATTGGGCAGGTAGAGAGCCTTCCACACCCTTCCAGGGGCCCGATAACCCGGACATTGTTCCGCCTCAGCGGATTCTCAGTGTCGTCCACCTTAGATGATAGAAGGTTAACCGTGCACTGCAGGTCAGCAATAGTGACAGAATGTTCCATAACAGAGTCCTCGACCTATGAGACCCGCATCTCTGCAGTAGTTAGCCGACCTCTGATCTTATTCAAGTAATTTCGGATCAGTATACACTCCACGGCCATCTTTGTTGTAAGTGTGATCTTACAGACCTCTATGGCCTCCAGGATAGCAGTAGTGGGGAGTCCCTTATCAGTCTCCGATCACTGAGGCTGAGAGGCGAAAGCAGGGTCCTGTGGA